ATACATATACATACATACATACATACATGCATACACACACACACCCACTACATATATATATATATATATATATATATATATATATATGTATATATTTATATATATGCACACACACACATATATATATATACATATATAAATCTATATATCTATATGTGTAGATAGAAATTTAGTTATATCACACATGCACATACGTATATGCGCCCACATTTTGGCAGATCCCCACACAATTATCAACAGGGTGTAGAACTGCGCTATGGTGGTTACTTTCACTAACTCATCTACATTAGCGGGTTTAAGTCCAAATGGTTTCTTATTAAATGTCTGCGTACGAGTAGCGGGGAGAGTTACCTTCCACCATTGTATATTGAAATATATCATTACAACCAAGATACTTGCACAGATAGAATATATATATATGCGCATCCGCATCTATCCATTGCAACACGTGAACTATCTTGAAGTTTCCGCCATTTTTCAACTGAACAGACATGTCAGGCATAAGCCCTCAGTCAGAATGTTGCAATATTACACTATAAGGCAACATCATAAACAAAAAAATAGAGACATACATGTGAATAGAGACTTGCAAGTCAGAATAGAGGCTTACATACACACGCATATATTATACACAAACAAAATAGAGACTTACATACACACGCATAGATTATACACAAACATTTGCTCCGCCGAGTTTACGCAGACACATATAGACATGCCAACATATGTTCATACACATATATTCACTTATACATACTACATACAGTGTCACATATCAGAGCTTTGGGATTATTGCATTGCGCGCACTTGTCAAGTGATGGAGAGCATTGCGCCCCTGCTGTTGCGAAGCCAGTCAATACAGATCTTGACACTATGTGTACAAACACACATATACGCACACTTTATGACGACTTATACATGTAAGCACACGTACGAAACAAAAATCTACTTAACTGTTTTACGCAGGCTGTTATTACCTAGAGGCAGATGGCTTTAATGAGAACTCATAGTCATGGCCGCTGCGATGTCAGACGGGAAGAGAAAAGCACACAGCGACTAAGAAATACAGAACTGCTTACACATACCGCGTACATAGAAAAAAAATTACCAGAAAATAGACCAACGTACACGTACGCACTCACACCCATGGCACATAATCATTCGCACACTAGCATACTTTTTCCTCAAATCACCCGCCAGAGTTTTCAATTGTTTGCGCATGTCTAGCAATGGGAAGCCTTCAGCCACTGTCATTGCGAAGTCAGACAGTACACCGATGTCGTTGGGCGTGAGCGTTCTTCGCATAGCAACGATTTCGAGAAAGAAAATGCGGCCCACCACCGCGCGGAGATCCGTGGAGTGAACGGTAGTGCTGGAGATCAACGCAAATAGTATACAAAGATAGGATGGTTAGAGGATAGACCTGGAGGAATTATATTATTTGCTGTTGCGAGGACTGGTACCCAATTGTCTAGCTGGGGGTTTCAACCTACCGCCACCATTTCATAAATCACCACCAACTGCACTTGTATTCTACACACAAACTAAGTCTTGCCATCGTCGCCGATGTTGTATCGACTCATCTGACGTTTATTCACATACCTATATTCAACATTAGGCCCTTGCACAACTTCTTTGCCCGAATTCTGCAACTGGGCAATCCGAGAGCCAGGTGTTCCCGTTTTGGGTTTCAGCGCAGCCGGTTCTGACAAAGAAAATGAAAATTCCAGAATTTCGGTTCGTGTAGTGTGGATTGAATACATGAGAGGACGCGAGGGGGACACGGTTTGAGATTGCATACCCAAAAGTTAAAGTACAATATAGACAACACGTGCCGAAGCAAATGGATGATACCACAGTTTTTTGCATGCATACACTGCCAGTGACTTTGTACACGTCCACAAAAGAACATTCCCCCATAAGCATATATTGACTACACAATCGCATGCCAAAAGGATGCATGTCTTTAGATTATATCGATCGTTGTACACACACACACACACACACACACACACACACAT